TTGGCTGAACCAAGTTTTAGTTCCTGGAGTTCCCCTTGTGTATTGGTGAACAAACCTGATGGTTCATATCGGTTTTGCACAGATTATAGAAGATTAAATTCTTTTACCAAACCAGACTGTTTTCCCTTGCCTCGAATAGATGACTGTGTAGATTATGTTGGCTCTGCCAAATATGTAAGTAAGTTTGATCTACTTAAGGGCTATTGGCAAGTACCTTTAACTGCTTGCGCAAGAGAATTATCTGCTTTCGTTACCCCAGACTCTTTCCTTCAATACACAGTGATGCCTTTTGGGGTCCGTAATGCCCCCGCTAAATTCCAACGATTGGTTAATCGTGTATTGCATGGAATGTCTGGATGCGAGGCTTATCTTGACGATGTCGTTTTGTATAGTTTTACCTGGTCTGAACATATTGATCAAATCAAAGACCTATTTTCACGTTTGGCAGAGGCTAATTTAAAAATCAATCTTGCGAAGTCCGAATTTGGAAAAGCCACAGTCACCTATTTGGGTAAAATAGTGGGAAACGGGTACGTTAAACCAATCGGAGCAAAGTTGAAGCCATTTGTAATTTTCCAACTCCCAGTAATCGGTGTGAATTACGACGATTTCTTGGGATGATTGGTTACTACCGGAGTTTTTGTAAAAACTTTGCTAGTATTGTTTCACCTTTGACTGATTTGTTGAGTCCAAAAATTGAGTACCAGTGGTCGGAGACATGTCAACAAGCCTTTGAAAATTGTAAGGCCTTGTTAGCTAGTTCCCCAGTTTTGACAGCTCCCAACTTTGAGAAGTCCTTCCGTCTCGCAGTTGATGCTAGTGGTTGTGGTGCAGGTGCGGTATTTTTGCAAGAGGATTTAAATCAAGTAGAACACCCTGTAAGCTACTTTTCAAAAAAGTTTAATCGTCTTCAACAGGTTTATTCCACCATTGAAAAGGAAGCCCTTGCTCTTGTTCTGGCTGTACAACATTTTGAGGTTTATTTAGGGTCGATCGTCGCACCGATTGTTGTTTATACTGATCATAACCCCTTGGTTTTTTTAAATTCCATGCGATGGAGTCTAATTTTACAGCCTTTCCATCTTGAAATTAAGCATGTGCGCGGGAAAGATAATGTGATCGCAGATACACTCTCTAGAGTATAACTATTCATATTGCATATTGTTCTTTTTGCACTTCTAGGGCCCAGAGGTGCTGGAAGAGGAGGAAGAGTGAGCTGTTTTATGAAAGGATGTATTTCTGTAATTGTTTGCTAATTTTTTTTTCTTTTTGATTCTTTGCAGAATCTTTTTGAGGAGGGAGGTGTTACGACCCTGTCTTCTCTTTCTCACCTTTCGGTGGCCTCGCCATGTGACGTCACCGTTAATTAGTTAATTTATGGGTATATGAATTTTTTGTGAAGAACGGCACTTCCTCTGGTGGACCGTTATTCCACAGAGAGGTCATTTTGCTCCAACTCTTTTGTGTTGCCGTCTTATGTTTTGTTTTGTATTTTGTTGAGAGAATTTCATCTGATTTCTTATTTATTTCAAATCCCTAGACAGTTTGTTATACTTAATTATTCCCTTTAATAAATGTTTTTTTAATTATATATCTTTTTGTGTGTCTGATCCTTTTTATGGTACGATCGGGAGCGAGCCGGCCGTAACACATGACACTTAAGTAAATTGACTAAACCAAATTAGCACCAAATTTGATTCAATTCTGTCAGCAACGCATCACCTTAGCAACCCTCACGCAGCAGGAGAGAGGGGGGTTCTCGAGATCTACCCGAGCTCAAACTCCCCTCTCGCCCTGCAATGGGAGGGAGCCCCGGGCTCGAGGCTCTCATGAGCTCGGGGCCCTTCCCGGGACAGCATGCCAAACTACCTTATCAACAATCATCAGCTAAGTGTGAACTCTTGAACTCAACTTTCACCTATGATTTCAGGGGGAATTCAATGAAAACTTTTATTTTTGATCTCATAGAGAGGAAATACAGTTGATGTCATAATTATTAGGCCTCCTAAATTATTAGCCCACTGTATATTTTTCACCAATTTCTTTTTAACAGTGATTTATCTGACATATTTCTAAACATAATTGTTATAATAACTCATTTCTACTAACTGATTTATTTTATCTATACCATGATGACAGTAAATAATATTTTACTAGATATTTTTCAATATACTAGTATTCAGCTAAAAGTGACATTTAAGGGCTTAACTTTGTTAGTGTAATGTGGCAAGTCATTGTATAACAATGGTTCATTCTGTAGACAATCAAAAAACATATAGCTTAAAGAGGCTAATAATGACTTTAAAATGGTATTTTAAAAAATTTAAACTGCTTTTATTCTAGCTGTATTAAAACAAATAGTACTTTCTCCAGAAGATAAAATATTATCGGAAATACTTTGAAAAATTCCTTGCTCTGACATGTTTGAAAAAGAAAAAAAAAACATAATAATTTTATATTGCAGTATAAACAGCAACCAGAGAGTGACATTTGATACCTTTTAAGATCTTTTTAATACCTTTAAGACTATTTCCATACATATTAAGCCCTTAAAACCACTTTAGGTTTCAACAGGAAACTCTGGCAACATTTTGGTGGGTCTCCCAACAACAGTCTGATATGCATGCAAGGAAAAAAAATTAACTGTCATATAATATGCATTTATTATTACCTAATAATCCCAACGACTCACATATGATTCATTTAGTGATTCATTTGTTCCCAAACCCTTCCTTTTCCCAAACCCTTCCTTAGTGTGATGCTAATCTGCACAAATTTGTTCTATGGCCCAGTCTGTTGTAATTAGTCGACTGCATTCAGCGTGAGACAGAGAGAAACGCCTAGCAAGGCTTATCAACAATTTTGAAGTAGTCAAAGTGCAAAGTTTATGTTTGAGTCCAATGCAGGAATGCATTAAAGCAATACAGTTAAACACCAGCATATTGCTCTATTCTAAAACCATAAATAAAAACAGTGACACACATTCAGTATTAATTGACACAGTGGCAAAAGCTGAACTATTTTGAAACGTGACGACCCCACGTGTGTAGAAACAGCTGATGGTGGGCATAGCAACGACAAACGGCAGTAGATCGCGAGCTCAAAAAAGAATTTTAATCTGTAAACAAAGTGGCACGCATCGCATTTTCAACGTGGTTTTCAGCGCGATGTGAAAATATAAAGAGTTAACTAGATACAATACAAGCGGCTACAATTAACAAAACACAATTCAATGTATTATTTGCAAGCCAAAGAAAACAAGAGGGCAACCATTTTAATTACACATATGTACACTGGTGAAATGGAGGAAGAAACTGATTCATGAACTGTGTAGTGAAAAGTTCCTGTCAAGCTCTAACAAGTCCCGTACATCAATAGCCATTTCTGATCCTTCCTTTAACAAATGGCCGACGAATCCCCTGTTGTAAACGTGTAGATTACTGAAGCAATCATCAGAAAAATGACAGGAACGCAGCACAAGGCTGGGGCTATATTGCTGAGATATTTTTGCAAAAATAAACTTAAACCACTGACTCTTCACAGTTTTACCTTTGGATAGGGATAATAACAATAACTTTCCCTCACTCTGATATTTCACGTCACTTAGAGCTGTTTTAAGCCTGGTTTATACTTTTGCATCAAGTGATTGGCATAACCCACGACGCATGCAACACGCGTAGTTGTGCATTTATACTGCGCGCTGTTTCTGTTGTTCTGCAATAACACTTCCAAAACGCTAGCTGGCAGTGAGTTGTTAATGTACCTCTGCGTTGAGTTTCTTCGCTGGTGTTTTGTTTTTCCTGAATGCTTCCTTAATGTACAAGTGGCTCAAACTCGCTCATTTGGAGGCAGAAACCGGCGGACGTGCAACAACTTTACCATGAGGTAAACACAAAACAAAACTTTCCATCCGGAGCTCCTTCACAGGACTCCACACTTGTAAACGATCGCTCTATCGGGCTAGCGTGGCTCTCGGCCCCGCCCAGACTCGTCAGCGCTACCAAGCTGATCAATCACAGAGCTTGCGCTACAAGTTGTTGCGACGTGTAGTTGCATTTTTTGAGAGGTGTGCGTCAGCGACGCCAATGGCCATGGTGTAGGGCTATGCGTCAACGTGTAGACTGCACTGTAGCATACGCGCGCGCTTGACACAGAAGTATAAATCAGCCTTTACACACTGCATTGAAGGTTATTTTCAAAAACCCATAATTAGGGCTCTTTTACTTCCAGTATATTTACGAAATTAATCCAAAACTAAAACATTATTCATATTCTGAATAAAAATCTATTAAATCTAGCTGATTCAGCAGGTTGGTGCTTTTAGACAAAGAGCATTGAATCATCCTTAAAGAGGCGACACTTTAGTGCAATTTGAGAAACCAGTTGATGCCGCTAGTGTCACGCAGCGGCCATTTTGGAATGAAAATTCCAATACAAAAACAGCATATTAAAAGTCTGTCAAATAAACTATTAAAAAGTGATGATTGTGATAGTAAGTGTTGTATTGCCGTCTTTCAGGTTGTATCTCAGCTTTAAAGCGCTTTTTAAATAAATAAATAAATAAATAAATAAATAAATAAAAACAAAATAGCTGCTTGCCATCGCAACAGCAATAAGACCCAATGGACGGCAGATTGCTTTTACTCTAAAATGACGGAATCGCTGGGCTGTTGCTGGGCGTTGCTGTTGCAAGGAAACAATCTATCGAGTCTCGCCTTGGTGATTCTAAACTCTTTGCTTTAGAGCTGCAGAAATAATGGTGTTGCCTAGGTTACTGCAGTAAACAAAGAAGCTTGATGTCAAATCTAGCAGGATTTTATTGATTTTATAAAAATACACAGAATCCTGATATTCGTAGATTTAATTCAGGCAAACTTTAGCAAACAACAATACATTGCTAAAATCAAAAATAATATAAAATTGAATAACTAGATAAATAGAATTTAAAACTTTTTAATACTTTTTAAGGGCCTTAAATTTCTCTACGTTGATCTATCAACTTTTAATACTTATTAAGACCCCGCAGACACCCTGTTTATAGACAAAAATATTTGAATCACCACCCATATAGTCTACAGCCTGCTGCACTTGCCATTCATTGAGTCAAAAACAGCCCCAGTCTCAGTTTCATGATCATAAATCAAACATGAGCCATTTTGTGCCAAAGGTGCATGATTTTTCTCCTCTTCATAGTCTGTCAGATCCTCAGGAGACGTGCGGCTCTGATCTCGGGTCTGGGCTTCCCTGCAGCACAATGTGGCTCTTGTGATGATGGAATCCATTGGTTTGAGTGAGTGCATCCAGAGAGGCAGGTGGTCCCACGTTTGCAGCCACCGAGGCAGGAGGTGAGGCTTGTGTGATTGCAGTCTATTCAGGATAACAATGCAAAGCAGAACAGCAACAACCGGTACACATATTCCCATTAGAATCTGCCATCCAGCCATAGAGAGGGCAAAGACAAAGGATGGCAGAAGGAGGAAGCACAGAATCAGGTACAGCACTGCAAACCAGCGATATTTTGCGGTCCGCTCTCCCAGAAAGCATGCCATACGGATGGGGAGCCGGGTATGAGGAACTGGATACCACAGTAATATGCCCAGAATGTTGAAGATGAAATGACACAGAGCAACCTGAGGTAGACAATGTTCAAAGCAGGATGAACAAAGAATTTTATATGGGTTTATTGGCTTTCAAGAGTTCACACTTAGCTGATGGTTGATAATCAAGCAATAATAACAATAAATAAAACAAATAAATAATAAACAGACTATTTTATTTTAAGTTTAAACAATTTGTTTAAATGTATACAATATTTAATTTATTTATTCATTTTCTTGTCGGCTTAGTCCATTTATTAATTAGGGTTCGCCACAGCGGAATGAACCTCCAACTTATCCAGCAAGTTTATGCAGCGGATGCTCTTCCAGCTGCAACCCATCTCTGGGAAACATCTCACACACACACACAATTTAGCCTACCCAATTCACCTGTACCACATGTCGTTGGACTGCGGGGGAAACCGGAGCACCTGGAAGAAACCCACAGGAACGCAGGAAGAACATGCAAACTCCACACAGATACACCAACTGAGCCGAGGTTCGAACCAGCGACCCAGCCACCTTCTTGCTGTAAGGCGACAGCACTACCTACTGCGCCACTGCGTCACCAATATTTAATTAAATTACACTTAAATTAAACCAGATATATTTTAGTCAACTAAATCTAGAGTAGAATTAGTTGACTAAAATCTTATTAAATTTAGTCAACTAAAACTAGACTAAAATTAAAATGATTTAGGAGAATAAAATATGACTAAAACTAAAATGTAATCTTAGTCAAAAGACTAATGCTGTGTTTACACCAGACGCGGGAAAAGCATCAAGCGCGAGTGACTTCCATGTTAAGTTAATGCAAAGATGCGAATAGACATCCTGAGACACAATACACGCGAATGAGGCGGCATGAATGACATGATTCGCGTGAATGAAGCGGCTCGAGATGAGCGTTTTGCGTTTTCCCAACTCGAATCGCTCGAGTTGGAAAATCTGAACTTCAGTAGACATTCGAGCCACATTAAATCCGCAAATTCATTGCTAAACGGCTAACATGGATTTTATTGAGAGAATAGCTGTGTTTATGTGCTTTATGGAGGCTGAAAAACAGCATTGATTCATTTGGAGCAGTGTTTGGAGAGTCTATAAACTCTTCTAGAAACTTGACCTGGATGATGGAAGCTTTCAGCGGTGCTTCTGACTGAGCCGAGCTCAGTTTGATCAGCCGTTGTCCGGTGTCGGCAGGAGATTTACCTCCTAAACTGAAACTAAATCAAAATTTCCTGTCAAAATTAACACTGTTCTGAAGACAAACCAACAGTACACATTTTCAACCTCTTCCTACACAAACAAACCTAAAACAAATCATCAGAATATTAGAGGAGATTCATAAACCTGAAATGAAAGGTTCAGATAAGGGAGACATTATGTACTATTGGTGTGCCTGGGTTAGGAAAACACTTGGAAACACACTGGGAAACACTCCTCTAAGAATGGGTGATGCAACTTTTTTCAGAACTGAAAAAACTCAGTACTATTATTATTTTAATATCCATCACAAATTCTATTACATATGTTTCATTCATTTATTTCCTTTTTGGCTTAGTCCCTTTATTAATCAGGGGTCACCACAGCGGAATAAACCGCCAACTTATTCAACATATGTTTTATGCAACAGATGCCCTTCCAGCTGCAACCCAACACTGGGAAACACCCATACACACATTCACATACCCTACAGCCAATTTAACTTATTCAATTAGCCTCACTGCATGTTTTTGAATTATGGAGACAACCGAAGCACTTGGAGGAAACCCACATGAACATGGAGAGAACATGCAAACTCCACACAGAAATTCCAACTGACCCAGCTGGGGCTTGAACCAGTGACCTTCTTGCTGTGAGGTAATCATGCTACCCACTGCGCCACTTTTAAAAGCAAGAGATAGCTTTTTGTCTATCATGAATTAAACAAATCGTTGTTTGCTGATTGCTGTGATCTCGTATGACAGGTTGCTGAAGGGAAGAGACATTGCTCCATTCTTACACCAGTAAACAGAAAAGTCATTATGAAGAGGAAAGAGAATGTGATTTTAATTAAAGATTATGAGAACTAGCTAATTTAAAAGAAACAATAAGGTCCACTGATGACTAATTAGTCATTAAGAAATATTGTAGCAATCATTTGTAATTGTAATAATTACAATATTCTATTTTATTGAGGGGAAGCCGTTTTTTTATTATTTATAATAAAATGTTTTACTGTATTAATTGTTACGTTCTGAAGGGATTTACTGTCACTTTTCCTTTTGTAATATAGAAAGTAATTATCAACTTCATTTTATTCTACAGACATTGCAGTCTGTACATTTTGCCCCTTAACCATGGCTGTTCATCTGCTCCACAGTGCTGATGATTCCAAGTGTGAGATTTGAAAGTCTGATCTAGGGGTGGCACAGTGGCTCAATGATTAGCACTGTCACCTCACAGAAAGAAGGTTACTGAGTCCTGGCTGGGTCAGTTGGAATGTTTGTATGTTTACATGTTTACATGTTCCACTGTCCCCATGTGGATTTTTTCCAGGTGCTCCAGTTTTCCCCACAGTCCAAAGACATGCGCTATAGGTCAATTGAATAAACTAAATTGACCGTAGTATATGTATGTGTGCATGTGAAAGTGTATAGGTGTTTCCCAGTACTAGGTTTCAGCTGGAAGGGCATACGCTGTGTAAATGCTGGATAAGTTTGTGGTTTATGTTGCTGTGGTGACCCCTGATGAATAAAGGGACTAAGCCGAAGGAAAATAAATGAATGAAGTCTGATCTGAATAAGTACCACATATAAGGATCATATCTGAACAAGTTAGCAACATGAGCATTGATGACAAACAACATAACAATAAAAATGGTGTTTAAGGTCCAATTCCAATTCTATATTTGTACCCTACCCTTTCCATTTGGCCCTTAAAACAGAGTGTGAAGGGGAAGGGCTTCAAAATTTAACCCTTCAGAAATTGGACAGCACTGCTCACTAGAGATGCGCGGTTGGCCGTTATAGCCACGGACTCCGCGGATAAACCGCGGATCGGGCGGATGACGTTACGAAAAAATAATATTTTAATTAAATTCGGGCGGGTGGCGGGCGGTTGTACTGTTTTTATATTCATAGCTGGCGCACCAACGAAAAAGCCTAGGACTGACTTCACAGAATGGGAGGAGGAATCGGATACACTAATTCTGGATGAACTTCCGTATAGACGGATCAGCAGAGGAAAATCTACTTTCCTTTTGGGAGAAATAAGGCCAGGCATTCCTACGACTACAGCACCTTTCCAAGAGAATTCTATGCATTTCAGCAACAAGTGCTGCGAGCGAGCGCTCCTTCAGTGCAGCAGGGCGCAGTGGCTATGCAGGCACTCCCGTCTGAATCCTGACACTGTAGATGCTATTTTATTCCTGCATTGTGCCAAGAAAAAATCAAACTAGACCTAAGGTCAGGCATATTAAACCAATTAGCCTATGTTATTTAGGCTACTCATATGTTCAATATAAACTTTTGAGTTCGGTCAGCTGATAATTTTACGTTCATATTGGTTTAGCCTATTCTATTCTAGACATGTTGGCCTCGCTTTTACGTTCCGAGGCTAAGGTTATTTTGCCAGAATTTCTTTGTCGCAAATTTTGATGGCGTAGTATTTCGTTATGCTTCAAGTTTGAGGGGAATGGGGATGATCCTAAGTCCATGGGTTATTGGGGCACTTGTCATACATGCACTTTAGCCTGGTCAGGTTCGCTCAAAGAGGGATGGCATATCTATTTTTCTCATTTAATTTCTAATTGTGGGGGTGACTGAGCCTACAAGGCTTAGGCACGATATGACGTTTTTATTAAAAAATTTTCAACTGTTTGCCAAAGCATGCGACTATAGCCTATGCCTACATTAAGATATTTATGTTAATATTTTTTTTACTGCCTGTTGTTTCTTTTGGCATATAAAATAGGTATTGTCTGATAGAGATATCAATAAAGGTTCATCTGTGTCGCAGAACTGTGTTGTTTCCGATTTCTACAAGCTCAATAACATCCACAGCAAAAAATAAAAAATAGTCGAAAAACTGTGCCCATTAATTAGATGTGCAAGGCAAGCAGGTACGTTTTTGGGGTTGCTATGGACAACTACAAATGTAAACATTATTAGGCTATAATGTAAATGACTTATTCTATCTATTTACTAAAAAATTAAGTGAAATAGGCATTTAGTAGTAGGCTAAATAGCAGCATGTTGAAATGATGTGTCAATGCGTTTTCTATTAGGCTACAATAAAAAAAAAGTTGTACAGTACAGTGCGTTTAATTTAGGCTATTTATTTATTTTTGTCCCTGTGCGCCGATTGGAGACGGAGTTCACTGCTGATATTCTGAGAGTTCGGGTGCTTCTCATTTCTTATTTGTGCATCCTCGTTTCCTTTCCTTGCTTTCTTTCCTCCTGTTTCCACCCCACCAGGATAACGTTACGAGGGAAGGACGCAAGGAAAAGACTGAAGGACCGAGGAATCGAATCAAGTGAAAAGACACGTCCTCGTATCTTTAGCGTAACTTCAAAGCGTCGTCAATTAATGACTTGCACGTTTGGATTAACTGCATGTCTACATTAAAGTCATTCTCTATTATATAATGATCAATAAAGAAACATTCATTTAATAAAAAAAGGAATAAGCCATTCAAATAAAAAGCCCAATCAGCAGATGGCGGGCGGGTGCGGTTTTAAAAATTGGTCAAAAATGTTACTGCGGATGGATGGCGGACGGATGATGAATTTTGTCATGCGGTTGCGGATGAAATAATAGCCCATCCGCGCATCTCTACTGCACACATCATGTCATCGCGATCTCTTACCTCATATAAGATAGATCATCACTACTGCTGTAGTTATTCCAGTTGTGCTATATTTTGGTATTTATCTTCATGTAACGACTGAAAGCATATATCATTTTATCTTAATATAATGTGGCAATAAGATCGTAATACTGTGCATTTACACAGTGTTCATCTATGTAAACACACAAAAACAACATTAACATTATACCAAACACTGTTAAAAGGTCCTTCCCACCCCACCCATTGAGTGACAGATGTGAAAGTATGTTAAGGGACTTCTAGACAGGAGTTATTATTAATGATTATAGATAGTGAAATTCAGCCATGCTGCCATTGTAGCTGACGTATTCTGGGAAATTTTCAAATCCATTGGTTTCGAGTGTAGTCCTGAAAAATCTCAATTTCAATGGCTATCTAGCCCTTCTCCTTAGCCCTGCGCCTTCAAGCTAAAGAGAATTGGGACACCACTACCCCTTCATGGAACACGCAAAATGATGGGTAGGGGCAAAGGGAAGGGCTAAGGGGTAGAATTGGGATTGGGCCTAATTGGGCCTAAAACTAATGGCTGCTTGCAGCTCATCTCACATGAAACTGTATGATAACAAATTATTATATTTAAGATACAAGAAGATAAAAATACAAGGATCTATATAATTATTATTATAATTTACATTTTTCCATATTGTTATAATCTTATGACTGTGGATTCAAGCAAAATTTGTTTTCATGAATAAGAGATAAGAAAATGTCTCGAAATCAGGGTCTGTTTTGTCCCTGTACAATGTTTTGAAGCATTAAATTTCCATTACTGTAGCTTCTGGTATAATAACATTTATTGGATTCATCCTGGTCAGACAAAGTCTGAGCACTGAATCATACGCAACTAAGATTATTCAATAACCTCAATAAACTCAATTCAAGAAACTGACATTTTCTGACAAGATCTGGAATCCAGGACTGGATCATATTTATCTGGCATGGAGATGGTGATCTAACAGTGTGGAGTTTGCGAGTTCTCCCTGTGTTCGCATGAGTTTCCTCCGGGTGCTCCAGTATCCTGCACAGTCCAAAGACATGCGCTCTATGAATTGGATAAGCTTAATTGACCAGAGTGTAGAAGTGTGTGTGTGTGTGTGTGTTTGTGTTTGTGTGTGTGTGTGTGTGTGCGTGTGTGTGTGTGTGTGTGTGTGTGTGTGTGTGTGTGTGTGTGTGTGTGTCAGAATCCAATAATCAAACAACATATGGTTCCAACATACACTCACACTGTGCTGTAACATTTTTGAAAATCTATATGTCTTTGTTTATATCAACAGTCATATATATGACTAATCAAAGCTGATCAGGCATAGATTCATCTTTATAAATAGCTATAGTATTAGTGTCTGGAATATAGAATGTTCAGAGACTAGTTTACACCATGATTTTAGAATTGCTCTTTGGTGTGATTTGATTAAAAAGTGTTCATAAATGGCTTTTGAATTTCTCTATTCGTACAAGTAGAGGCTTGGTAGTCCACATATCACAAAAGTAACAAATGGCTTGAAAGCATTGGTATTCTAAGATCAGCATTCGTTGGGTGTTCAAACTCATTCACTGTTTAATTAGTTCAAGTCTCAGTGCCTCACCTGAAAGGCCGCTGCTAGCTTGTCTCCTGGGCTGGCTAATCCAGCTAAAATAGCTGTAGTGGTGGTTCCTATATTGGATCCGAGGGTCAGAGGGTAGGCCCGCTCGATACTTATCACACCGATACCTGAAAGCATAATGAACGTGAGAGTTCTCCAGAGCAGATAATTTCGGGTTACAAATGAGACCTTCTCATAAGGTAAATCTGTGCTTGTTAAGAGCAAATTGGATGAACATGTATGACCGCTATAGAGCTGGCATTTAACTTATGAAAATGACCCAATGAAATTGTCCCAAATGGCACACTCACTTATCAGAGTCTACTTTATGCTGGGAATATCAAAAGCACATGTTGACTACAAAAATGACATTTGTATGCACACTTCAATGGACAACGATAGTATTTTTAATTCTTATAAAAAATAATGAATTTCTGATACTAATAACCTGACTTTTCATGCATATGCATATACTGTACATTCACCAGCCACTTTATTAGGTACACCTCACTAGTACAGGTTTGGAGACCCTTTGCCTTCAGAACTTCCCTAATCCTTCGTTGCATAGATTCAACAAAGTACTGGAAATATTAATCAGAGATTTTGGTCCATAATGACATGATAGCATCACTGACATGATGCAGATTTGTCAGCTGTACATCTATGATGCAAATCTACCGTTCCACCACATTCCAAAGGAGCTCTATTGGATTAAGACTGGAGACTGGAGGCCATCTGACTACAGTGAACTCATTTTCATGTTCAAGAAACCAGTCTGAATCTGCGCTTTAAGCCATGGCACATTATCCTGCTAGTAGCCATCAGAAAGTGGGTACATTATGGTCATAAAGGGATGGGCATAGCCAACAACTATACTCAAGTAGGCTGTGGCATTGACACAGTGCTCAATTGGTACTAATAATAGCAAAGTGTGGTAAGAAAATATCCCCCACGCCATTACACCACCACCACCAACCTGAACCATTGATACAAGGCAGGATAATATATGCTTTCATGTTGTTGACACCAAGTTCTGACCCTACCATCCGAATGTCGCAGCAGAAATCGAGACTCATGAGAACAGGGAACAACTTTTGCTATCTTCTATTGTTTAATTTTGGTAAGCCTGTGTAGTCTCAGTTTCATGTTCTTGGCTGACAGGAGTGGGACCTGGTGTGGTCTTCTGCTGCTGTAGCCCATCCGCCTCAAGGTTGGACTGGTTGAGCATTCAGAGATGCTCTTCAGCAAACCTTTGTTGTAATGAGTGAGTTACTGTTGCCTTTCTATGAGTTTGAACCAGTTTGGCTATTTTCCTCTGACCTCTGGCAACAACAAGGCATTTGTGCTCACAGAACTGATGCTCACTGGATATTTTCTCATCTTCGGACCATTCTCTGTAAGGCCCAGTGGAATAGTGAACGGGCCCCCAGTCCCCACCAACCCCCCCATGCCCCCGGCCGATCTTGACCAAGGGGGCCTCGTCGGTAATCCGTGCAGTGGTGCCCCTGCATTTTGCGCTACACCACTGGTAAACCCTAGAGATGGTTGTGCGTTTCTGAAATACTCAGACCAGCCCGCCTCGCACCAACAACCATGTAACATTCAAAGTCACTTAAATCAACTTTCCTCCCCATTCTGAGGCTTGGTTTTTACTGCAGCAGATTGTTTTGACCATGTCTACATGCCTAAATGCATTGAGTTGCTGCCATGTGATTGGCTGATTCGAAATTTGCGTTAACGAGCAGTTGGACAGGTGCAAGTAATACAGTGGCCGGTGAGTGTATACATAATATATATACAATAAAGAGAATTTTAGCGATTGATACATCTCATGAAGCAGTGAGCAATATTGTCACATGACACGAATAACACATCAGACAAGAAGTGTGTATTGACAACTCAAGGCTTTGCATACTGGGCGAAGCATTCTAATTGTGAGTTTTATAATGTATTTGAATGTAAATATATGCAAATGGTGCTGTGGTGCAGCGGAAATTTGAACAATGTTCTGACTACCCAAAATATGAGTTTTTGTTTGTTTGTTTGTCTTTTTCAGCTATTTTGACTAAAATCATCTTGAAGCCGTTATTTGTTGCAGCTGGTTTGATCCTCTTTTAACTGTATAGTAAAACTTTAACAAATAAAATACTTTTCCTCTTCTCAATTGTGAATGCAATTATTTGTCATCAAACACTAAATTTCATCACCTGTTAATAAGACCACCTGCATTTTTCTTTTTAAAAAAGAAGAAAATCATTTTTGAAAAATACAGTCTCACAAATTAAGGCTTCTGTGGTGGCTCTAAAACTGCTGGGATTAGTGGTCTCTCAGGCAGTGTAATTAGGATGCCGGGGATCCATAATCTAGCTGTCATGCCTCGCTAGAAAGTCTAATCACTGTGTAGCTAATTACAATAAATCCAGGAGTAATGTTCGACCATCGCTCGTCTATCCGTCAGAGAGGCAGGTGGATTAGAGATCATCAAGAAAACATCTCTCTTGGCTTGGCACTGCTTCTCTCTATTTCATTTCTCATGCCATTGCTCTTACTCACGGATGCTCAACAACGTACGTCTGCGATTTCTCTGGGAAATCGAGAGCATGACTTACGGTATTGAGGAAAATTCCCTCATTATTCACAGAACAGACCATTGATTCCCAGAGCCCAGAGCTCATAGACTAGTGAATACGAATGAGTGAAAGTCAACAGTCAATGCTGTGAGGGCTAAAGATTAACTCCTCTGAGGCTCAGTGGTGTCTAAATGCAAATATTAGTGCATTACTCTGAGCTGCTCTTGGGTGTAATGAATTTCTCCAGTCATTTTAAGGAACAGTTAAATTATACAGAAGAATCTCAAACATTTCAAACACACACTCAAGCAGCACTGTGGCGCAGTGGATAGCGCTGTCGCCCCACAGCAAGAAGGTTGCTGATTCGAGCTATGGCTGAGTCAGTTGCATGTCTGTGTGGAGTTTGTGCTTTAGGTGAATTGGGTAAGCTAAGTTGACCATGGTGTATGTCCTTGTCCTCCAGCTTGTGGGTTGAGCTTTGGGCTACTGACCCATATTATTATGAAACACCAACATTGTGCAGGTAAATATCAACTTCAATATAAACGACCCTGGGAGTAAGTAAGCAAGGTACATTTACTCACCTATTAAAGGAGTGATGGCAGACGTGAACACTGAACTGCTCTGAACCACGAAGGTCATCCCAGCACCAATTAGAATGGCCAGATAGCCAGTCAACCAGCTGAACGGAAAAGGAAAATCTGCAGGGAAAAGTTTTGTTTCTTATGAAATGCTGCAAAGTGGTGATATACTTCAGACTCCCTTTGGGGATCCCTAGAAACACTGAATAAACTCTCTAAAAAAGCAGCACTTGGAAAGTGGGTTAGAGGAAGTGCTAGAACATCAAAAAGCATCACGAGGAAAATATTAAAATAAGGCATTTAAATTAAGAGTTTCATTTTTAAGAATACTGAGTGTTTATTTTGAGTTGATACACCTTTTAACCTCAGAAGTTCAACAATTTTAAAGGCATAGTTCACCCAAAAAATATATTCTTTCATCATTTACTCAGCTATTATTTATTCTACATCCTGTTTGACTTTCTTCTGTTGTACATAGAAGAAGATGTAAGCATAGAGAGTAAATACTGAATACAAGACTACTCGCTTTAGTTAGATGATTGTTCTGTTAACATACATAATCAAAAATAAACCCAAGTCTCTGTCTTCTGAAAACACAAAAGAAGGCATTTTTAATGTTAGCAACCATAAAATGAATGATACCCATTGACTTTCAAAATAATTAAAGAGCCCCTATTATGGGTTCAAAAAGACTTTCCTTGCAGTGTGTAAAACAGCACTAAGTGAATGGAAACATCCAGCTGAGGATTAAATGTGAAAGTGGACTGTGTTAAAAGCTATAAATTCTTTAACGAAATAGTCGACTTAGAGTCAAATAAATGAATCATGTTGGGGTTGGATCTTTTCCTTGAGGCGTCAACATCGGTATGGTACTTCACCAAATATGAAGTGCCGGTTGAATGCAAGGGGATCACAGGACTGATCATGACGAAAAGGTGTTGATTAAAGTTAATTTTCACAACAATACCACAGTATTGCCAACCGTATGCTGTGTTTGTTCCTGTCATATTATGATAATTTAAACAATAGCCTGCGCTGCAACACAGGGTTCATCAGCTGTTTGCTATCAAAGGAAGAAGCAGCAAAGACTCTTATGTATGGGACTTTGTCAGTAACTATTACAGTTTATATGGACCAGTTTCTTCTTCCTCTGGATCATAACATGTAAGTGTCATTAAAATTGTTGCCTCGTTTTGTGTAGTTTGCAAAATATGTGTTTAACTGTGTGTTGTAACTTGTAAATGCTCAGCGCGGCTTCTTGATCTATTATAGATCAGTGCTTGCACTGTATCTATCAGGTTAAATCTGTATAGGGCTGCTCACATATTGCGTCCAAAACAATGCTAAAAGCATGACGCATGCTTCTTCCTTTACTGATTATCATTCGTTTCTGAACTCATAATCCTCTGCCGTTTGCCTTTTCTAAGGCCATCATCAGCTGTTCCCACACATGCTTGGCGCATTGAATTTTCCAAAAAGTTACACTTTTGCCACTGTGTGGATTAATACTGAATTATGTGTCATTGTTATTATTGGGGGTTAGAGTTAAGAGTAAAGCAATATGCTAGTGTTTATCTGCATTGCTTTATTGCATTCCTGCATTGACTCTTACATGCTCTGTGTGCTACTTCATAGTCGTGGTGGGCATCTCTCTCTGTCTCATGCTGAACCTGGTCAACCAATCACAACAGACTGGGTCATCAGACCAATCAGTGCAGATTAGCTTTGCGTTTAGGAGGGGATTGGGAATAAATGGATCACTGAACAAATAATTTGGGAGTCGCTGGGATAATTAGGTAAAAATAAATGCATGTTACTAGATAATGGAAGTGTTTTTTGACCTTTCATGCATATCAGTCTGTTGTTAGAGACCCCAAACCAAATTAGGACCTTTTTTAATGCAAAATAGGGGTTCTTTAAAAAAGTAGACAATGGAGACCAACAATCTTTGCAAACAAGCCTGCTTTAGGCTTGTTGACTAAAAAAACTAACCTAAAGACACTGTAAAAAATGCTGGGTTCCACATTCTTCATCTTGTCTCAATGCAAATGAATTAAGTTAACTCAGTGTTTTTTTACCATTTCAAGTTGATAGAATATAAAACAATTAAATTGTCCCTAAATAAACCCAGGAACTGTATTGTTTCAGCAAATTTGAAATAAGTAGTTTGAACAAGCAGCTAAAAAAATCTTTTTGCATAGACCTCTAGTGGGCTGCAAACCTAAGAGTTTGCAGTAAAATGTTGGCCCCTTAGTGCTGACACTAACACTCTGAAAGGGTACTACAAAATATCTAATCAAACATAATTAATACACATACTACTAAAAAGTACCAAACAATTGCTTTAACCTTGTGTGGTAAAGTATTCTTTAGCATAGGGCTGGACAATAAAATCTGTATTAATATTTACTGACGAAACACCATTGTCAATATCGCTAAAAAAAGTTTCAGTATGAAGCACTATAGTTTTATCAAAATGTGGCTGCTAAGTGCACGCCTTGAAAGGCTTAGGTTGTACATTTGTAATTTTCAATATAGGCATGCAACTAGCACGATGCGTTTATGTAATGGACATGCACGTTGTGGTTGTGCAAGCGGCGTACACATGATGCGTGTGCATTTTTTTCTAGGTGCACCTAGTTAAAAAACATCTGGGGCCTCATGTATCAACGCTGTGTATGCACAAAAACTTTGCGCATGCGAGGTTTCACGCTCACGTTTGGATTTACTAACAATAAAAATAATCTGAGAATGTGTGCTGGTCCGCGCCAACTTCATGTCTGGCGTACGTGCATTTCCTGTGTGTGTTTGTTTTATTTACATTGGCGACTCCTAGAGACAATTATCTTAAATTGCACACTACAGTAAAGTATCGCACCAACACATGTGGAAAACATCGCTATTCAATAATAATTGATAAAATGGGTTAATTGACACTATATATATATATATTGTCAATGGTCGAATCCAAAGGGAAGCTTTTTTTAGGGATCACAGTGATTTTCTGGCCCACGATGACTGGCTTAATAGCGTCTAGATTTGGAGCTCTGTGCTGAGTTGGGTCCAAATTTGGATAAAAAGACAGCGAGGAGGCTCCAAGGTGGCAGGCTGCATGATGGGGGGCTTACCTTTACTTAACCCTTCCCTTGTACCTTCACTTAAAAGCTCAGATTTGATTATCATTATTTGTTTTGTTTACAGAGTTTGAGGTCTAGTGTATCATTATTATTGACAACCTTACTGATGTAGTTCTACCTTTACCATTGCACACACTTTACATTTTATTGATCAAGTTTAAGAGTTTCTAACACATAAACATGTGTATTTTATTATAAAGATATATTTTGTTTACATATTTTTGTTTTGACTATTAAAATTTTTTGTCTTAGTAATGCTGGTAAATTAAAATAAAGTGGTTAAATAAAAAAAATACTAACATTCCTAAATGTTTTGTTAAAAAAAATGCAATAATTATTGATATATAGAATAACAGAAAACATGATATTGTGATAATGTGTTTGCATTATCGCCCAGCCCCTTTTTGGCAAAGTTCATTCTTCCCTTGAGGTCTCTCAAAAAGTTGGCAGATGGTGGTAGCTCTTTTCATCAAATGGGAAACAGAGCATAGGAAAGAAATGGAGGGTTGACTACACAAAAGCTGCATGGGCCCAGAAAACAAAACAAAGAAAAAAAGCGAAAGGGCTGACCCACAACAGGCCATAATGGGATTAATGTAGGCAGCAAAGTGAGCCCATATCTGTGGACCATAGCTGAGCAAGCCCGCACTGGGCCTGATTAGATTTGGTGTGGTTTTTGTGTTCATCAAAAGAAATGCATACAGGCTCAGAACAAGTAGATATGTCTAAAATTATCACAAATTTCTTTTAAAGATTGAGAGGTTAATAGTACTGTACATCTGAAAGTTGTTTTACAATTTTTAATGTCAGAATCCCATTAACAGTCAAAAGTTGGTAGTTCCACCTGTGTTGATGACTTTTTGGATGGCCTTGGCCACTTGTCCCTGGAGGAGGGAGTTGAGGAGCTTAACCAGCAGCAGGAGGCAGGTGCACAGAACCAGCAGCGAGCAAACCAGCAGAATCAACCCCACAGCCAGATCAGACAATCTCGTCTCCACAAATAGATGAGTGCCTGCTCCAAATCACACACACACACACACACACACACATGCATTTACATCTCCAGTCTCCTGTGGAAATGTGCCCGTCAGTTAAGCGTTGACAGGCATGTGTTCATTATTAACAGTGATTAGCCCATCAGGTGATGATTATAGGATGTGTTTGTAGGGATTCAACCAATATTTATGCATCCTAAAAAAGAAATGAGGTTATAATTGGGGCTTTAGCAACAGACTGTCCCTTCATAAACAGACATATATTAATTTTTTTTTTTCAACATGATGACTCTTGGGCTCAAAGGATAATAAAAATATGCCTCATAGTCATGATGAGGCAGGATGACTCAAAAGCTTATTGAAAGTTTAAAAACATCTAGCTTCTTAATGCAGCCTGTTTGTTACTGTGTAGTTAGTCTTTTAAGCAAGCATATGACTCAGTGGTCGTTTCTATCATAGGATGTTCTAATACAGAATAAATGACAGTTATTAGCCATAGACGGAGCTGCAAGTAAATGAAGAAGAACCAAACAGTCGGCACCGAGGGACTGAGTTTCTTTACAGCAAAAAGGGTGCATTGTTTGAATATGGCTTTTCTTGGGTTTTAAGTATCTTGCCATTCAAAGACATGATAGAATGGTTAACAATACTGTGTTATTCAAAAAGCACATACATGGAATAACTAAACGCCGATCAATCAAAGGAAGGCTTTTTGCCGTGACTGTCCGTTTCTTTGTGTTTTGCTTTGAAATAAGATTAGAGTTTCGACTTACATTTTTCAGCATTCATGTGGAGAGATGTGGTTAGCACTGTTGAGTTTTCAGAAGGCACAAAAGAAGCATTTTTTTGGATCTGTTGATAATAAATTTAGATAGCGTCACACGTTGCGAGAGCACATCAAAGATCTTCATCTGTAGGCAAACAGAGACGTTGCTCACCGCAATCTGTGTCTGGCACCAAACTTTTATCAGGCTCTTATTGCGCAGCACCTCTTGCCCTGTTGCTATGCCTACTATTACAGTTCTATCCAGCTGAAAGGGAATACATAAAATTGTCTTTTAACTTCAAACTCGGATTAATGAGAGACAGCAGAGTGCTGAAGGGCAAACAGTGTGATATTTAATTAGGCTACATGACTTTTAACAAGCTCCAAAGCATTTAACAAGAAAACTAATGGCCGGTTTTCATTTTATTTATAACGACACTCAAATGACTTCATGCTTTAAGAGATAAATCATCCTAAATATATTCTTACTTATGTAATTCCAATAATAAAAAAAAAAAACACTTGTAATACTTGGTTCTTTCGCATACAGCCAAAGATTACAAATGATTAAAACACAAAAACAAAGGGGCTGCATAAGACTTGTATGCTACATTTCTAAAAGTGCTGTCACTCCAATAGTATCTGACTGCAGACAAGATATGCAAGCTGAGGAATGCAGTCTCAGAAATGCAATATCAAACACAATGCACCTAATGGAGCTAGTGACGTCACTTTGTGGGGAAGGGTTGGGGGTAGTGCACTAAAAGCAATGCATGCAGCTCAGCTTGCATCTTCACTTTTCAAAATGGATGAATCAATGAGATTAACCAAAAAAAAAAAGATGTACACAAACTCTCAAAGACCCTTAAAGCAGGACATTATCAACAAGTGTACAAGAAGAGTTGAGAAAAAATGAATTGAGCTTGTTGGTCCAGCACACCCAATGTTTAGATGTGAATGTATCAAATTTATGTCCACGCTTAAAAAAATAGCTACTCATGAAAGTAGTCAGACTACTGTCTTTCATTCTAAGTACATGTTTATAAGTGAAAAATTATGCTTTCTGATTATGACATTTTTTAAATAAAATTTGATTTTTATTAAATTTGATATAAAAACAAACCCTCTATTCATTGCTTCATTTTCTTTTTGGCTTAGTCCCTTTATTAATCGGTGGTCACCACAGCGGAATGAACCGCCAACTTATGCAGCATATGTTTTACGCAGCGGATGCACTTTCAGGCACAACCCAACACTGGGAACAACCATACACTCTTGCATTCACACACATACACGGGAAGAACATGCAAACTCCACGCAGAAATGCCAATTTACAGTAATACTTTAATAACTACAGGAAGAACTTTCCCAATGGTTATTTAATACATTTGTTGTAAAGATAATTCAAGCCTTTCTGCAACAATGAGTCACATGGCGAACTACTGAACAAATTGGTAACAGCAGGAAAGCTATTCATACCAAGGTAAGCGGTCAGCTGGTAAGCATCATACCACCCTGTAGTGTTTTAAGTTTTAAAGATGAACTGCAGCTATACTTACTTGTTGCTACATAATTCTTAATATCTCCAGAAATATATATAGGGCTATATTTTCATGACCTCATGTTGGTTTATGAATATACGCGTACTAAGACATGTTAATTTGCATCTGTCAATCAATTTGGTTGGTGCGGCACTCCTACTTCACATTGTGGTGGACCTCAATATAGGAGGGATTGGATCCTATTTTAACGTCAGAAATAAAAAAAAAAGAGACTTATTGTCTTTATATAACTGTAGTATACCTGTAGACACACTAAATTCACACACAGTTCTGTCCATCATAGGTGCCCTTTAAACCAGAAGTTTTTGTGACCACATACAATGAACCAAATAAAATAAAAACTAGCAATAGGATAGCCTAACATTATACGTATTTATTTTCATTTACTTCACTTGGATTTAGATTAAGTCAAACCAAAGTAATTTAATTAATTAATTTATTTATTTATTTATTATGTTCTATAAAAATTACATTTTACCTTTGAGTCACTGTAGTTTTTTTTTTCCTTTGTGCAGAATAAACTTTTTTGATTCCGACTGATTTACATTTTATATGGTTCAAAGTGTACTTTTTCAGTGCATTTGAATAGCTAGACTCAAGGTTTTTCAGAAGAACATTGTCTCCTACTTTTTTAATACTGGCAAATGTAAAAGACTCATTTAGTTTTTTTACACACGAATAGTAGCATTTTACCTGAATTATACGTTTGGTGAAAGGTTCTGTGATGACTTTCAGCAGCTCTGGACCCTTCTCTCCGGTCACGATATTGAAACTTTCAACAATTGCCTCCGACATTAACCTCATCATGCCTGTGATGGCTTCCAGCGGCAGCAGCACCAGCACTGACAGCCAGTTAAAGCAATCGTGCACTGTGGCACCAGCAAAAGCTCTGAAACAGACCCACACAGTAACTGTCATTAAAAAGCTTCAAACTTTTTTTATTGATGGTTTAATGCTGACAGCGTGAGGTACAGTGTGCTCTCTGTACCGTTTGAACTCCTCTCTCTCCCCTGCCTGCATCAGAGCCACGATGGTGTTGGTGACAGATGTGCCAATGTTTGAGCCCATGATGATGGGGATGGCGGATCCCACATCCAGCACTGCATGAAAGAAACAGAGAAGACCGATCGATAGATGTGAGTCATGCTTCATTTGGGCAGTTATGAAAAGCCCAGAGGGGCCATTTCAAAGAGAAAAATAGGAACTGCAATATATAACAAACAGCATAGCAACGAGACTGTGTTATTAAAACTTGTAATGTCAGTGTTACTGCAAACGATAATTGGAATAAAATGACGCCACATGTGTTTACATGCACCATAAATGTTATGACATCATTTTTTAAAGTACATATATATATTACCCTTTCTAAAGGATTGGAGAATGTCCGTTGTTAGCTGGATATTAAGTACTCCAAACTCTTTGTGTCTGCTGTTTTATATTTATTTTTATACAACAGTTTGGTCTGGTTCTTGAATCTGAATGGCTGATAGCTGTGTAATATTTTGCAAATAACAGCACCTCTTCACGCTTCACCCTTGTGTATTACTCCACCCACATACAGCGACAGGCAAATGACACTCTACAGTTTGACAAATATTGCTGCGGTTAGAAAACATAATTTACTTTTGATGCTTTTTTAGTTGTGAATATATTTGTTTAGATTGCAACTATGCAGTTTATTTATAAGTATAGTGCCTACTTTCAAATATTTATAATTTCGAAGCATCGGATTCAGTGTATTCCCATTAGCCTGTCTAACCAGAAGTGACGATTGACGTTCTGCCACATGATGGTGACAGAGAGGGAAGTACTTAGGGAAGAACAATGGCATTTTTTCAGAATAAATTTCAAACTACAGCTGAACAAATCATTATAAATGAGGTAAGTGGCGTTGTAAGCTAATTTCTCTCTCTTGCATTTTGTATTACTGTATTTATACCATAGAAACTGGTAGTGTTTGCTTTGCTCTGGCTTTTTTAGGGATAATTATTGTGAAATTCTAATTGCAACAGAGAAATACTTGGAAATCCCTTTAGAGTAATGGCATTTCATGCCGTTCAGCCTTATAATCTTAAAATGTGATCGCCTGTTTTGTCATCACTTTAGACATTGCGCTAGAGAATCATTCCAATACTAGCTCTAAAGTGATGTTGGTGAAGTAGCAACGGTTTCTGCTGTTCTGACTGTCAACTGCAGATGTGAATGAATGATGGAAGAAAGTAGTTCCTTGTACAAAAGGATTGTTTTTTCTTTTTATACGCATGATTATGACATCGAACTGTTGTAAAAAGGCATTATCACACTGGTAGCATTGCAACATGGCTGTATATTGTCACTGGTGGGGGCACTAAGACCTGTGGCCTCATGCCAACGCATGCCACCCAACAGTGCTGAAATTCGGTCATATTGCACTGCTACTTGTGTGATATTGCTCATATATAAATAATGTGCATTCCACTAGCTGCTTTAGTGAAAGGTAGAAACAGATGAACAGAATCTATTATTTCAGAAAGTTAGTAACAAAAAACATATTAAAAATACTATTATACACAGTGTACACTTTATAAGATACACGTTGCTAGTATCAAGTTAGACCCACTGTTGCCTTCAGAACTGCCTTAGTTCTTCACAACATTGATTTAACACTGCTAGAGATATTCCTCAGAGATTTTGGACCTCCTCACACAGGCTTGTTGACTTCAGATCCATGATGTGAATCTCCTGTTCAGAGCATCGCAAAAGCACTCTATTGGACTGAGATCTAGAGACTCTGGAGGCCATTTCAGTTTAATGTGATCAACGTCAAGAAGTCCAGTCTGAGATGATTTGAGATTTGTGACAATGGTGCAAGATCTGGTCCTAAACAGGATGAATAAGCTTAGCAACATTAATCTGTTGTGCCTCAATGATCCTCAGTTGGTATCACGAGGCCCAAAACTGTGCAGAGAAAAGCTACTCCACCATTATAACACAAGCAATCTGAGCTGTTGATACAAGGCAAAATGAATCCATGCTTTCATGTTGTTTACAAATCATGACTCATCAGACCAAGTGACCTTTTTCAAGTCCTACCTAGTCCATTTTGATTGGCCAGCGTGGATTGTAGCCTCAGTTTTTTTTTTTTTTTTTTTTACCAAGAGTGTGAGTTTTTCTACTTCTGCTGCTGTAGCTCATCTGCTGTGTGTTCAGTGATGCTATTTGTTGTGTTGTGCTTAGTATTTTTATTTGACTTGCTGTTGTCTTTCATTAGCCGAATTAAGCATTTTCACCCACAGAACTGACACTCACTGTATGTTGTCTCTTTTTTATTTTTATTTTTTTTTGGGACTTTTCACTGTAAACACTAAAGATGCTTGTTCATGTGTATTCCAGTAGTTAAACAGTTTCTAAAATGCTCAGTCTAGTTGTCTTGTAACAAGAAAATACACATTCAAACACACGGTATGTATTTTTGCCACTAGAGGGTGCATATTCACAAAAAAACAAAGGTTTAAAAGGTTATTCAGAGTGAATGTACTAGATGGACGTGCATAAGAAATTCTTGAGTAGTTAAGAAAGTGTTAAAAATGATATGCCCCTTCAAGTAAAGTCATAATATAATTATACATTAACATACAGCATCATGAGTTCAGGATGGTTAAATTAGGCATAAATTATTGTAGTGATTCAATTATTAATTAACAAACAACCATTTACTAACAAGTATATAAGGTAGCTGTTATTTACATAGGAACTTATGTGACACATGTAGTAGTTAAATGAGTTCATGATTATCACATGCATTAACACATCATTAGGTTTAGGTTTAGGTTTAACTTTATTTGTCCCCGAGAGGAAATTTGTCTTGGGCATAAAAGGTGCTACAACATTGTCTAAACAGACAGTAAAAATAAATAAAACAAAACAATTAAGAACAAACAGTTAAGAACATACATTGTTTACAGAGTCCATAATAAAGTAATGCTTAGTTTACATATTAACACATCATTATTCATGTATTGTAGTTGTAAAGTGCTACCAAAATTGCTAATTGCTTATGACAAAAACTGACATATTGTGACTTCAAATGATCTTTCTATCACAATATTCTGTTCAGTTTAACTACACATGGGATTGCTATCATGTCATTGGCTGATTAGATATCAGTGTTAAACAGAAGTACTGGATAAAAGTGACTAGTGAATGTACAGTATTCTGCAGTAATACTGTAATACTGACTTACATCCAGAGGAAACCAGACTGACAACAATGGAGGTAGAAGTGCTGGAACTTTGCACGAGGACAGTAACCAGTATTCCCACCACCAGTCCCGCCACAGGGTTAGAAAGAACCGCATTATCCTTGAAAATGCCCCCTGCGACCTTACCTGTTCAAAGACAAAACTTCAGAAGTTTTATTTCCACTCTGAGATAATGATGTTACAAAGTAACCATGTTTTCACAATGTCTTTGGAAACATATATTTTAAAAAGTTACTGTATCAGTGAACAATGGAAACAGGGACAAACAAAGGGTGTTAAAGTTTACCTCCGGCTAACTGAAAGGCTGAGCTCAGGATGTCCAGAGAACAGATGAACATGTACAGAAAGAGAAGAAGAAGAGGTATCTTGCAAATATTGATGAATATGTGTTTTCCCGTAGCCTCCATCACATGCTTCTGAATAAAAAGTATATTTTAGATCATTTGGATACAAATTAAATTAAATAAAACATTTTTTAGAGTTACTGATTTAGATTTTTGTACATGGTTTTTTGTTTAAAAAATAACATTGCTTATGTCTTTATCCTATACTATTTCTTTCCATTTTTAATAAAAAAAAAGTTTTTAAATTTGTTATCCGGCATATATTTATATTAATTTTAAGACAACACAATACACTGTAACAAATGATTCTGCATTTTAGTTTTTTCAACATGATTTTGTAAGTTGAACCAACAAAGTTGGTCATTGAACTTAACCTGTTAAGTTTTCGCTGTCTCAACTACTGTACTTTGCAACAGAATGTTTGTTGACTCAACTTAAAAACATATGCCAAACCAGCATCTTTTGTGCCCCATACTTCCAATCCAACAGGTGGCGGAATATAGAAGATATGGACCAGTTAAGCACCAGAAGAAGTCAAACACATGGGATATTTTTCACCAGATTTTTTAATTATTCAATCATCACATTTGGTAAGTAATGCTTCTTCAAATTTGTGTTTTAACTTGTAAAAGTACACTTATGAACTTATTGTCAATGTATTGTTCCAAAGTTTAAATGGTACTAGAGCAGATTAGATTTTTGCTAATACATTTGGCTACATTTATAAAGCTTAGTAATTTTATTATTATTTTTTTTTTTAGGTTTAAATTTGCAATATCTCAACATGTTTTCCCTGACTAATCTACTAGAGGTATTTTTACATCAATTTTAATACATCTCCCATTTATATAGTGTATAAAATATTTTTGAAAAATATTTACAACAATTCATTTATTTTATTTATCATTCATAAAGGTTGTTCCCAAAGAGCAGACAGACTATATAGAGGTGAGATTTTACCAGTATTTATATTTATAAGTGTACAGTAACCAAATATTTAAGAACAAATATTTACAATAATTTATCCAAATTTGATTTTCTCATTCTAAAGGTTGAAGCACATTTCCAGAGGAAGACTGACTTACTAAAGGTGAGATTTTACCAAATATATCCCATGCTAAAATGTAAATGTTAATGTAAATCATATTCATACAGTAAACAAATATTTAAGCAACAGTAGACAAGTAATTTTAAAAGATTTTTGTAAATTTATATTTCAAAGATTTAATGATTACTCTGATCTTGAATATGTACCTGTTTATTAAATATGTTTTGGCTTTCCTTCATACAATTACTTCAAGCTGTGTGGGGCATTTGGTGTTGATAAATTAAGTGGAGCTGCAAGTTTCACTACAACCAATCAACGAATTGTCATAAAACATTCAAAGCTGAAACACTGCCATCACACACAAAATGATTTGTATGTAAATAAGATTTGGTTTATGTCTTTTAGTTTTAGTGTTTTAGATTTTGTAATGTAAAGAAAGAAATGCATTATTGTTTGTCATTTTTTTACAGCACACAGATTGTGAAGAAGAGCTGAGCAGAGGCTCCTGGAAATCAGAGACTGTTGATTAACATTGGAGCAGATATCTGCAAAGCACGAGTACACTCACTTAAATATACATGGAAATAAAGATGCTGAGATCGAATTTTATAATCTTCCAAGTTTTTTTTTTTTTTTTTTTTTTCCCAAGAGTATGTGTTAGTGGGATTTTTTCTTTCCCTCGAAATTATTTTTAATTCACTTTGTAAAAAAAAAAAACTTTGTAAAGACAATTATATTGTAAGTATATATTATGTGTAGTTGTTAAATTGAGAGTAAAGACCTTTAGTAAAATGTGTAAGGTATTTCGTTGTCTATTGTGTTTCCAATTGAAAAAAATCTGCTAGATCAAGTTCAGTGAACTTGAAAATGTAAGTTAATGTATTTAAACTACACTTGGCAAGTTCTGCTAACTTGATAATGTAAGTTAATATATTACCTTTGTTAGTCCAGTTAAAATAAGTAGTTTTGTCATTTGTCATAATTCTGTCAACTAATCATTGTAAGTTGAGAAAATTAAATTCAACTTAACTGATAATGCAACAAGATGATTTAACTAAATTGAGTGAATAAATAATTTTTTTACAGTGTACCAACATTTTAAATTTAAAAGACATAAGGAAACAATACTTTCTGTAATGACCCTGAAGAGAAGAAAATAAAGAGACCATTTTAAAAATCTCATTTTCTGGATTGAGAAATTCTCTGAATGACAATATTTGTATGTGAAATTTAGAAGAACTGATATAAAACATCAATTCACTGTTAACCATTTACACAGTATTTAACTGTAATATTAACCTTATTTTACTGTTAGGCAGTTATGCAGTATATTACTGTATTTTAAAGTTGCATTGTGAAAATTACTGTATTTTTACAGTAAAGATATAGAATACTGTAAATACATATACAGTAAGATGAATCGCTCTGTAAATGTTTTAATACATTATTTTAACTGTGATTGTTGACTTACAGTGTTACTGGTGAACTGCTTCTAGTAAGTTACTGTAGATTCTAAGGGAATTGTTAACTAAAAATGTTTTACTCAAATCCATACCAATTAAATCCAGAAACTAAGCTTTTTAAAATTATCTTTTCATTTTTCCCATACATCTATACTGCCTTTGTCTGTAAACTTTATATATTTCCCAAAAATCATTTTCTTTTGAATTGTCAAAATGTATTAAGAGTCATTTTAATGTGACTTCAATGAAAGTATAAACAATGCATTATTAGTTTATTTCTCCCTCCTCCAATTATCCAGGACTTGAAAACGCAGAAACACATTTGACTCAATTCTCCTAATTAATCCAGCCATTGAAACTCACTGCAGTTTAATGTCATTGCAAATAAATTAGTTTTTAATGTCACATTTATTATATCACCATTACAGTTCTAAAGAATTTTACCATTATGAATATGCTGCTATTTATGTATTTAAATATAGATTTATTCACTTGACTTTGACTTCTTAAAAAGTGAGCAGTAAAGTTATAAAGTTACGAATTAAACTCCTGTCATCATTTATTAACCCTCCACTTGTTAAAAAAGAAAACTGTCTGAAAATCTTTCTTCTGCTGAGCACAAAAGAGGATATTTTGAAAACATTTTTATACTGACTTCCATATTATTTCTATGAAAGTCTTTCATAATCTTTTGTGTTCAACAGAATAAACAAATTTATAAAGGTCTGCAGTCAATTAAGGGTTATTATCTCTTTAAAGGTCCTGCCAGTTATTTAATGATCCACGGTTTTGTGTGGGTATTGTTTTTAATGTTGATAACAGTTTTGCTTCTTAATATTTTTGCCAATTGTCAATTGTGCACTACACTATAATTCAATTTTATGGTAAGACTTCAAAAGGTGTCTCTCTAGAAATCAAAAAATCCAGAAATTAATTATTTTATTCAGCGATACATCTAATTTATCAAAGTGACATTTACTGTACGCTGTTACCAAAGAGTTCAGTTATTTCTGGAGTTGAGTGACCAACGTATCTGAGTAGGGGCATATGCGCGCAAGATTATCATTCATTTGCAGGCGTCCGGGAGTCTCTGTGAATTAGCGGGATACTCCCGCAACTTCTGGGAGACTTGGGATGCTCTTCCAGCTGCAACCCAATATTGGGAAACATCTATACACACACTCTTTTACACACACACACACACACACATTCATTTTTGTGAAAAATGGGGACATTACATTGGTTTCCATTCATTTTATACTGTCCAAACCGTATTTCATATTGCCCTCGCCCCACCCCACACCTAAACCCAACCATCACAGGAGACTGTGTACAGCTTTACTCTCTGATTAAAGTCATTCTGTAGGATTTATAAGCATTTTGAGAAATGAGGATGTCACCAATGTCCTCATATTTTGTCTTCTTTTTGTAATACCTGTGTCATACCCATGTCATACCCATACCCATACAGATTTGTGTCCTGATACTGTATGTCACATAAACATGTACACACACACACTCTACGGACAATTTAGTTTACCCAATTCATCTGTACTGCATGTCTTTTTACTGTTGGGGAAACCGGAGCACACAGAAGAAACTCATGCTAACACGGGGAGAACATGCAAACTCCCTGCTGGGACTTGAACCAGTAACCTTCTTGCTATGAGGCAACAGTGCTAACCACTGAGAAACTGTGCCTACTTCATAGTTGTTCGATATTTATAATAACCTTCATTGATAGAGCACCAGTGCAATTTGAACATGTTTGTTTTGAAAGTACCAAAAATGTATTAGATGAAAGGAAAATGTGAAAACAAAATGCATTTTTACATTTCATTTAAAAATTATATTATTTTATAAATAAATCCAACATTTCATTTACATGGGTAAAGTTTTTATAAAAAAGGCACATTTATTTTATTAATATTTCACGTTCATTCACTATTTTTGATTCTGTAATTTAATCCAAATGTAAACCAAACTGAATAACAGATCTAGAAATTTTCCTTGGCAACTGCCTACAATTTAAACATATAAATAAACACATTCTGCTCTGAAATGCGACATACTCTCTCTTTTATGGTTTTTCTTATTATTATTATTAATGATTATATCGACAATCACAGTCTTGATTATGAAGCTATTAAACAAAACACAAGATTCCAAGAAAGCAGCATGATCAATACATACCTCTTCGCTCCTCATATAATGATGCACAGTTTGTGCTTGCATCTATCAGCCGTCATTATACCTGCAGTCTCAATCTGAGGGACAAAGTCGCTCATTATACAGTGCTTAGTTAAAATTTAAATACAAAAGCATCTGGAAATAAAGGTCATTTATTTACTAAAATCTTCAAATGATATCATTCTTTTTACATTTTTCACATTTTCACATTTTACATGTGACAACAGCATGCACTGTGATCCTACAAGGTAATATAATCCTTCATTCATTCATTTCACTTTTGCTGAGTCCCTTTTTTATCAGGGGTCGCCACAGTGGATTAGTTTTATTTAATAATTTAAATGAAATCATTCTGTTCATCAAGGTAGCATTTATTAAATGTAAAAATAAAAGTTAAATTGTTAAATATGTATCAAATATTTATTTAGTACTTGTTGTATATAGTTTAAAATGAAATGATTACTCCAGTCACTGTTGTTTTTATTACCATTATCATTAATAATAATAATAATAATAATGATAATTATAATAATAATAACAACAATAATAATAAAAACAATAATAATAATTAATATTAGAGATTTCTGAAGGATCATGTGACTGGCAACTGAAGTAATGAAGCTGAAAATTCATCATTAAAATGACTGCAATAAATGATTAAATTAATGATAAACTACTTTTGAACAATTATTTTATATTGCAATAACATTTTTCAATAGTACATTGTGTACTGTATTTTTGATTAAATAAATGCAGCCTTGGTGAGCAGAAGAAGCTTATTTGAAAACATTTAAAAATCCTACTGACCTCAAACTTTTGACCAGTAGTGTGTATATTTTGTAACATTTTGCATGTTTGTATATTGAAATACTGTACATTTAAAGCTTTATAAGCTCAGTGCTAAAACACATTTCAAATATTATCTCGACATTGTCTCTTGACACCACCATAATGTCTAGAGAGTGGACAGTGGGACACCAAGTGGTGAGATTTCTTTAAGACATTGATGAATGGTTTGAAAACGTCCAGATCTGCTCTGCTTTTCAGTCATATTGTCTGATACCACAGAATGTGCACAATGAGAGATGTTATTGAGGTTTAGATTTATAGCAGAAAGCGTGCAGAGTTATGAGTTCATTCACTGCGTACTGTGTGATGCAGGAATGAACAACAGGCTTTCACCTTCTCCTGAACTGGTGATAAATTCTTTTCTGTATTCTGTGAGTGTTCAGGAATGAGAGACTCCTGCGGTTAAATGATCTCAGAAGAGCTCTATTATTCCAAAGCTGTCGTCATTATGAAAGCTTTATATAAATTATACATTAGGGGTCAAAGTTTTTTTTTTTTAATTATTAACAATTTTGATGTTTTTTTGTTTTTTTTACTTTAAAGAGGGTTATCCAAATCAAGGTTTGTAATCAAAAATACCGAAAAAATACTTAAAACTTTCTTTCGTAACACTTTACAATGACTATACCATATTAATCATTTATTAAACATTAGCAAATAGTAAATTCATTATTTGTTAAGCATTAACTCCATATAAATAGACAATAGTAAGCAGTTTATGACTGAATTCAGTATTGCAGTATTTACTGACCATTTGTATTTAAGAGTAGTTTGGAGTTTTTAAGATATCCAGAATGTATTAGTAAATGATTAATAAATGATGTATATGTATATATCGTATCTATTATTCAGGCATAAAGTAATACTTCATTTGTATGTTAATAAATGCTTTATTAACTCAACTCTATCCGGTTTTGTGACCTAATCTAAAGCAAAGACTGTTTATGCTTTATAAATCCCTTATAAAATGACAATTAAAGGCTTTTTTTAAAGTATTAATGTTCATGTTGACATTACTTTTACTTAACCTGTGTTCGGCTCCTGTGGTTTCTGAGCCACACTATCATTGGTATTGTCTCCCTGGTGATTAATAGTCTCTGCCCCCTTGTTATCTGTTTGCTGGTTAGTCCATT